GAGTCTCTCCCACCGCCACAACCCCTACAGGTTTTTTCAGTTAGAGGTTTTGAGGCTTTATTTCCCTGAACTGGAACCCTGGGTTGAGTGGTCTCTCTTGCTCCCCAGTTGTTCCTCCTGGTTATCCACACACAAATGTGGGACTGTCTGCTGTGCTTGGTGAGCTCTGCCAGCTGCCTCTCCTGCCCTGGTCCTCTTGCCACTGCCTTGCATCCAGTCCTCTTTGCCCCTGCTGCCCATCTCTGCATCTCTGCCCCTCCACCCCTCCTACTGGTCTGGATGAATGCTTCTTTAACTCCTTGGTTGTCAGACTTTCATACAATTTGATTTTCTGTCAGTTCTGGTTGTGTTTTGTTTTGAAATTTGTTGTTGCCCCTCTTTTGGTTGTGAAAGGAGACAAAGTGTATCTACCTAGGCATCCATCTTGGAAGTCTTTATAATGGTAATTTTTGGTTTAGGAAATGAAAAAACCTTGAATAGATTCTGGATTGAGGATTGATTAGATTTGGGGGCTTGGAAGAAATGGAATCAGATCTCTGTTCATTTCTCAGCTTCATTATCATACTGTACTTCAGGGATGTCCAACCCATGGCAATGGCTATGAATGTGGCCAACACAAAATCATTGATTTACTTAAAACATTACGTAGTTTTAATACTAAGTTTTCTACTAAGTTTTGTTACTTGGATGTGTACATTTTCTATATTAGTGATCAGAAACTTGGGACCTGCTCAACGATTTAAAAAAACTCAGAAGGTCTGCTGCATAATTAGGGTTATTATATGAGGACTTTTTTGTTTATCTGTGGTGGCAGATATCACAAAAATTATGTACAGATGGATCTCTTCTTTGCTCATCAGTTTTCGTTAGTGTCTGTATATTTAATGTGTAGCCCAAGACAACTCTTCTTCCAATGTGGCCCAGAGACACCAAAAGGTTGGATACCCCTGTTCCATGTGGTAACATTTACGCTAAGTCTACATGCTCTCAGTTATAAGTCTTTTGGAAAAAGAGAGTGCCTTCTTAGTACCCCCATTGATATCCAGGTGTGTTTCTGAATGAACAGCTTGACTTTAAGCCCATTGTTAAACTAATCACAAGAATTAAGGGAATTTAATACTCTGGCCATGCATGATTTGCATATACTGCCACTGAGTTGGAACTGCACCTGAAGAAAGTGGGAAATAGAATTGGGAGAGGATAGTTTCCCAGAAGGAAGTTGAGATATTGTTACAAAACGAGAGAATGGATGCTGGTGTAGCTTACAAATCAACTATTCAGTATTTTGATTTACTTAATGTTTTATTTCTAAGGGGTCAATATGGCTTTTCTAAATTAAGTTTTTTAATTATCAAAGTAATATCTGAGTGTAGTTTAAAATGTTATACAGTTCTGTCTGGTGTTTTCAGAACCAGCTAAAAAATTTGAAAGTGATTACCTCTTGAGGCAAAGGGATAGAAAAAGGAGAGCCGAGGGCTGTTACTTTTGTTATAGGCCTCTTTTAAAATATGTGCATATATTACTTTAATAAATAAAAATGTGTCTATAATCTTTTTAAAAAGATTTTATTTATTTATCTTTAGAGGGGAAGGGAAGGAGAGAGGGAGAGAAATATCAATGTATGGTTGCCTGGCGTGCATCCCCTGCTGGGAATCAGCCCACAACCCAGCATGTGCTCTTACTAGGAATTGAACGGCGGCGATCCTCTGGTTCACAGGCCCACACTCAATCCACTGAGCTACACCAGCCAGGGTGTATAATCTTTTGATTTATTAATTTTAGAGATGTACCTATTTTCTATTAAGGTAAAAGGACATTCATTTTCTCAGCCTAGCTCTTGGCCTCATTGTTTTGATAAAATTACATATTCATTGTCAGTGGGTTTTTTTATTATAACCATATATAACCTTGTACGTATAGTTTATAGTTGACCTACCACCTATGATTAAATTTCCTTTCTTATGTAACTTATTTTTTTCTTGAAAGTTACAGAAAATTTGTAAAGTGTAATTAAAAATTTTTTGTTCTCTTTTAGTTTATAGCTAAGTCTTCCTATACTCTGTAATGGTTCTATAAAAGTCATATTTGTATAATTTTGACATGGTCATATCAGTCGGATATGTCTCCCCACACCCACCCCCATACCCCCATTGAAATCTACTCTTTTTTGGATTATTCTAGACTTGCTTCAAAGATAAATTTACTTTTGTTGGCATCCTGGAGATTTCTTTTGCCTTTGTCATTATTTTGTGCTTTCTCATATTGGAAACCTTTTTAAAGTGACATTTCCAAAAGTGATTAGTATAGGATTGCATTTTTATTTGATCTATTGTTTAAGATAAAAGCTTTGATTTTAAGTAGCCTTTATTTCAGACTAGTGTGTCATTTTTAATTTCCCCAAAATGGGATTCTTATCCATGTTGTTTCATTAATGAGTGTTTAACAATTAAAATTACTCGACAAAATGATAAGGTTTAATATGTTGGATAGAATAAAATCATCTTACTGAAGTTAATTCTTTGAGGATCTTTTTCCCCTCTTAATTGTATACTGTGAGATCTGTTGCCTAACCAAACTTCCGGAGTTAGTCACTTGGGTATTGTCACTCTGCTGATTTTTATCAGAAACAGGAAATTGTCAAGTTATATGTTAAAGTACAGCAGATTCTAAAATTGCATTTGTACTAGCACAAGAGATTTCCCTTTAGAGTTTTTCTGTCACTAGGTGGTTCCTTTTTCCTCAGACTATAACAACTGGCTTGCCCAAAATGTTGCAAACAGTACCCTTCCTCATAGTGTACATATCATACACAGTGATTGGTAAAATGATTGGACAAACTTAGTGTCATTAATATATTTGTAAAGGTAAATTGGGGAAGAACATGTTTTTAGTTGTTTACTTGTTGTTCCAGTGTTTAGATTAGCAGGATTCCTAAAGTAGACCTTTTAGGGAGTCTATAAGGCAAAAATTATTTTCATATATTGTGATGTTAATTTTCATTTTCATTCTGGAGCTTGCAGAGGCTGCATGAAATGCAGTGATAGTTTATAAAAGGTCAATGTTTGGAAGATCTGCAAAACTCAGTGAATGATGATACAAAATTCATACATGACCCTGACTGAGTAGCTCAGTTGCTTGGAGCATCATCCCACTACACCAAAGTTGCAGCTTTGACCCCAGTTAGGACATAAACAAGAATCAGCCAGTGAATGCATAAATAAGTGGAACAACAAATCTCTCTCTCTCAAATCAATAAATAAAAAAATTAATCATACATGAGTAAAAACAGGTCCATTTAAAGTATAAGACAGACGAATGTTTTCTGCTATATGTTCATTTTAGTATAAATATAGTAAGATTCATACTTTTTTGAGTGTGAATGAGATTTGATACATAGAGTTATGTAATCGCTACCCCAATCTAAATATGAAGTTTCTTCATCCCCCTCTTAAGAAAATAAAATTTTCTCATGCTTTGTGGTCAAACACTTACCCCCACCATTAACCTGTGAAAAACCTCTAGTCTGTTCTTTGTTGCTATAGTTTTGCCTTTTCCAAATGTCATGCATAGCCTCTTAAGTCTAGCTCAGTGAGATTGCTGGGTTGTATCAAAAGTTGGTGTTGAACTTTATAAGAAGATGCCAAACTGTTGCCCATAGTGCCTGTACTACTTTTGCATTCCAACAAGCAGTGCATCAATTCCAGTTGCTCAGTGTCCTCATTGGCTCCTTGGTACTTTTTGTCTTTGTTCCCTTCTCTCTCTTATTCTCATTCTCTATCTCTATCTCTCTGTCTGTATTGATCCTACCCCCTCTTTTATACTCCTTTCCTTTTTTCTCCACCTTCCTTCTCTTTGAAAGCCATTTGATAGTTGTGTAGGGATATAATTTTGTGGTTTTAATTTGCATTTCTGTAATGACTAATGATTTTGGTGAAATGTTTATTCAAATATTTTGTCCATTTAAAAATATTAACTATTTAAATATTTTCCCCCATGTCTTTACTTGAGGATGCAACTTGAGACAGCTCTCCCTGGGCTGGAATCATGTGTCAGTGGCTCTAGTCGCCTGCCCCACAGCTTTGGGTTGAATTCCAGGTGACGGCTTCCTCTTTTGAAATGGAGGAGGCAGCCTTAATGATCTCTGAATCATCTTTGGGGTTCTTCTTTGCTAGTCTTTGAAGAATATCTGGTCTTACCCTTAAAATCCAAGAAGATGGCCAACAATCTTCTTTATTTCTTACTGACTTTTGCTAGTTCAGATTGGCTGTTTCCTGGCTGAGTCTGATGTTCACACCTTACTCATCTCTTTACCAGAGGGTTCCTTGGGCACACCTTTCGAGTTCTGTTCTGAACACACTTTCTCATTTTTTTTTTGCAATATAGATAGGCTGAACATTTTCCACCTTTTAAATTAAATGAAGTTTGTGCTTACCTTTGGATAAACAATTCCATCCTTAAGTTGCTTCTTTTCTTGAATTTTACTGTAAGCATTCAAGAGAAACTAAGCTGCACCTTCAACACTTTGCTTAAAAATAGCTTCAGCCAGCTCTGGCCAAGTAGTTCAGCTGGTTGGAGCATCATCTGGATATGCCAAGATTGCAGGTTTGTTTTCTGTTCGGGGCACATTCAAGAATCCGCCAGTTAATACATAAATAATTGAAACAGCAAATTGATGTTTCTCCTTTTCTCCACCTCCCCTAAAAATCAGTAAATAAAGATTTATACCTTTATCCAAATATCCACTTTCATCCTCACAGTTCTACCTTTTGCAAAACCCTAGGACATGAACACAATTTAGCCAAGCTCTTTTACAAGTCATTTTACAAGAATCACCTTTCCTGCATTTTCTGATAACCTGTTCCTCATTTCTGTCTGAGGCTTTTATCAGAATGGCCTTTACTGTTAATGTTTCAACGTACTTTCTATTCATGACCACTTAAGGTATCCTGTAGGAAAACTGAGTCTTTCTTTACATCTCTCTTCTCCTTCTGTGCCCTCAGGAGACATTGCCCTCAACAGACCTGTGGATGAAGAAAGTAACCTCATGGGGTGATCTGATTGTAATTGGACAGGTCATGGTGGATAATCACCCCCTCAGGTATATAACTTCTTTAGTAAAAGGTTTATTTTTGCCTTAAGCAACCCTTGTCTTTGTTCTTGTGCATCTAAGTTAACACACCTTTGAAATGCCAGAATAATCCTCTTTTTCACACCCCTTGAGGTGTAATCACCTTCCAGAGGGAACATAATCTTCCTAATTATCCTGCAATCCAGTCTGTATGTTGTTTACTCTTGCCTTCCTTTAATCTTCCTGTTCCCTTCTTAATTCCAGATTTCTAAAAGAAACTGCAGATTGTTCAAGGAAGCATTTTTCTTATTCTATTGAGAGATTGCATCTAGGTGTATCTTCTGTTTGGCTCAAGTAAATTTTTATAAAAATTCCCCACAGATTTTATATTCTTACATTGACAGTTCCTTCTAGGTTTTTCTGGCTAGTCTAGTAATCAAATTGACATAAAACAGATTAACAGGCAACAAAACAAATTCAAGTTTAATAATATGTATACCTCCTCTTTCATGGGAGCGACCCAGCATAACTGAGTAACTCATCAAAATGGTAGATGCCATTCACTATAAATACTATCTTCAGCTAAAGGCAAAAGATGTTGGGGGTGGAGAGTCAGTTATGGGAGGTTACCAGGAAAAGCACTATAAATAAGAGTAAGATTGTTAGGCAGATTTATGTCTATGCCTTCTTCATTAATACTAGTCTCTAGAATTTTAGACATCCTCATCTTTATGGTACAGCTGCATTTGTAGGGAGACATCCTTACAAATGAAGATTTCCCTTGTAAATATCTCTTACAAAGAGTAATTTCTACCTGGTTTTCAGAACTCTTTTTATTTTTAAATGTCTACTAGTAGTTTCTTAAGAATTAACCAACTTAAAATAATCCTTATGCCAAAAAGGTATTTGGGGGTAGCAAATTTTGCTCTCCTGCAATGGGAATGTAGACTTGTTTTTAGCGTGTACTTCCAGACTCCTCTAGCCTCTTCCCATGATACAGTTCAAAAACTGCTTCCACAAATTAAGTATTTATTACAGCAGTAGCCTCACTTCTTGGTGTCAGTTTTCTGTCTAAGTATGTTTGGGCTGCTGTAACAAAATACCACAGAAATCTACTGCTCAGAGGTCTGGAAACTGGAAGTCTGATATAAGGGTACCAGCATAGTCTGGTGAGGTCCCTCCTTTATGTTATATCCTCACATAATGAATAGGGTTTCAGGAACTCTGGGATCTCTTATAAGAACACTGGTCCCATTTCTGGGAGCTCCATTCTGATGACCTAATTACTGCCCAAAGGCCCTACCTACTAATACCTAACCTTATGGGGGTTAGGATTTCGACCTGAATTTGGGCGAGGGTGGTGCACAAACATTCAGACCATAGCAGTAGCACTCCCTTATGTTTTTAGTGCCATGTGGCCTAGGTTTTCTTTTTCTTTTTTTTAAATATATTTTATTGATTATGCTACTACAGTTGTCCCAAGTTTTCCCTCTTTGCCCCGCTCCACCTGGTACTCCCCATCCCTCTGGGAGTCCCTCCTTAGTTCATGTCCATGGGTCATGCATATAAATTCTTTAGCTACTCCATTTCCTCTACTGTTCTTCTAACATTCCCCTGTCTATTCTATACCTACCAATTTGTAGTTCTTAATTCCTATACCTTTTCCTCCATTCTCTCATTTCCCCCACCCAATTGATAACCCTCAAAATGATCTCCATATCTATGATTTTGTTTCTGTTCTGCTTGTTTACTTACTTTGTTTTTTAGATTCAATTGATATAGTTATGAATTTATTGCCTTTTAATGTTCATAGTTTTGATCTTTTTCTTAAGTCCCTTTAATATGCCATTTAACAATGGCTTGGTGATGATGAACTCCTTTAGCTCTACCTTGTCTTGAAAGCACTATATCTCCCCTTCAATTCTAAGTGATAATTTTTCTGGATAGAGTAACTACAGGTCATAGGTCCTTGCTTTTTATGACTTTGAATATTTCTTGCCAATCCCATCTTGCCTGCAAAATTTCACTTGAGAAATCAGCTGACAGTCTTATGGGAACTCCTTTGTAGGTAACTCTCTTCTTTTCTCTTGCTGCTTTTAAGGTTCTCTCTTTATCTTTAACCCTTGGCATTTTAATTATGATGTGTCTTGTTGTGGTCCTCTTTGTCTGGGACTCTGTTCTTCCTGGTCTTGTATGTATATTTCCTTTGCCAGATTAGGGAAGTTTTCTTTCATTATTTTTTTTTCTTTCATTATTTTTTCAAGTAAGTTTTTAATTTCCTGTTCTTTCTTTTCTCCTTCTGAGACCCCTATGTTTTCAGTGTTAATACATTTTACCGGATGCTCCTTATTAGCCTTTCCTTGTTATTTTGGATTTCTTTTTCTTTTTGCTGTTCTTATTGGTTGGTTTTTGCTTCCTTACATTCCAAATCATTGATTAGATTCTCAGCTCATCCACTCCACTGTTGGTTTCTGTAAATTTTTCTTTATTTCACTTAGTGTAACTTTCCTTTATGCCTGGGTCTTTTTTATGCTATTGAAGTACCCAGTTAGTTCCTCAAGCATCCTAATAACCAGTGTTTTGAACTCTGCTTTGGATAGATGGCTTATCTCCATTTTGTTTAGTTCTTTCTCTAGAGTTTTGTTATGTTCTTTCATTTGGGCCATATTTCCTTGCTCATTTTGGCAGCCTCCCTGTGTTTGTTTCCACATATTAGGTAGATCTGCTTTGACTCCCTGTCTTAGTAGCATGGCCTATTGTAGAAAAGCACACTGGTAAGTTGGATGGGGCAGAGCTTTAGATAATTGCCAGGGTGGGGCAACTGGATGAACTGGGTTGATAGAGTCTCCAATATGGTGTTGCCACTCTGTGGCTCTGTGTGCAGAAGGGCTCAAAAAGGGGACAGTACTGCTGCCTGCCCTCTGGAGTTTTGTCTGGGAGGAAGCTTGTCCTGATGCCAGACACTTCAATTTCTCTTTGTGTGCCACTGGTGACCTTTCAGTTGCTTCCCCAGTGCTGAAACCCAGAGGGAGTGAGTCCGTGTAAGTCTTAAGTCCATTGTGGGCCTTTTAAGGGGAGACTTTTGGGAATCCCATAGTTTCTTCCATTGGTTTTTATAGCCAGAAGTTATGGGGACTTACCTTCCTGCAGCTGGAACCCTGTGCTGGGTGGTCTGGTGTGGGGCTGGGACCCCTCGCTCCCGAGGTATCCATCCCAATTTTTATCTAACTAACATACGTGGGTGTGGTGCCACTCATTCTGTAACAGGATGCAGCCAACGGGGCGGGGGGCAAACAGGGGTTTGTAATGGGGTCCAGAACTCGGTGTCCAGGAAATATTAGGGAAAAATATATATGTATAAGATGTCCTCACCCCCACATGTCTGAGCTGGGAGATGGGACGCATGGAGCAAGGCCATTGAGAGTTGTTTTGAAAAGCAACAGTTTTGCAGATAACCTCTAGAATGGTAGTTTAACATATTTATAACCTTTAACTGTTTTCATAAATATGTTAAACAGCTGTGGCCATGCTTTGAGCCAGGGGGATGGGCAACTCCCACTGGTTACAGAGCCTGTGTAAGAGCTTGAAGATGATTGTCTCCACACCAGAGGGCGACAGCTAACGAATACTGGCAGCTGTGGCCAATTGTGGGAGGAGTCAGAAATCGTGTGGCAGAGGAAGATAGGCGCTGGGATTTAAATCCAGGCACAGCAGCTATGAAGGGTCTTTTTGGGACCTTGCAGCTTGGGCAGAGAAGAACCACAAATTTCTAATTCTGTTTCTGAGATACGGTACCCCGGACTGGGCAGAGGGGGAAGGAAGGATGGACTGTGCATTTGTGGCTTTTCAAAAGGACTTTAGGATCTCAGTGAAGACATTAAGTCATTACTCTTAACTTTGTATAACTCTTTAAATAAATAACCCCTTTCCTTTTCACCAGTCTCTGGCATTGAGAGACATCTTTCCCTGGTGGTGGGCAAGACGAACCTAGTATGGGGTGGGGGACCCCAGAGTACAAGGGTGGGTCCATTTGGTAATAGCATATCGTTCACTCCCCCTTCCCACTGCCTCAGGTCTATTCTGTAACAATTCCACATCTCCACCCCTCCAATCCCATACAATTTGATTTTCTGAAGATTCTGCGTGATAGTAGTTTTGTAGTTTAGATATAATTTCTGCAGTGGTTGTGTGAGGAGGCGAGCTGTGTTTACCTACACCTCTGTTTTGACTGGAAGTCTGAAAGTGGCTTAGTTTTTCTTTATCTGAGAATGTCTTTATTTCATTTCATTCCTTAAGGATAGTTTCACAAATATTACAGTATAATTCTGGTTTGCCAGTTATTTCCTTTAAACATTTTAGAGATGTGGTTCATGGTTTCTCATCTGTCAGCACCATGGACTGGATAATTCCTTACTGTGGAGGGCTGTCATGTTATGTTCATCATGGGATCTTGAGCAGTATCCTTGGCCTCTATACACAGTAGCAGCCCCCCTTTCCTCTGCCCCCTAGCTGTGACTATATAAAATGACTCCAGATACTGTCAAATATTCCCTTGGGTGCACAATACCAGTAATATCCAATTGAGAATCACTGCCCTGTATGTGTTGTGTTGTTTTTCTCTGGCTGCTTTTATGATTTTCCTTTTATCTGTGGTATTTAGCAGCTAGATTATGATGTATCTGGACATGGTCTGAATTTACCCTGTTTGAGGTTTCTTAGTTTCTTGAATCTGTAAATTTATGTCTTTTGCAAACTTCTACAAATTTCAGCCAATATTTGAAGTATTTTTTTGTACTGGTACCTATTTGGGGGTGGGGCATGGAACCCAATACATGAGTAGTAGCTCTTTTGATATTGTCCCATGGTCCCTGAAGCCCTGTTCTTTTTCAAAATATTTTCCCCTTTCCTTTAGATTGGATACTTTTATTGACTGTCTTCAGATTTATACAGTCTTCTTTTCTGTTATAATATGCTGAATGTCAGCCTCCCAGAAGATACTTCCATTTTCTAATCCCTGGGCTTTGTGAACA